TAAACTGCTACTGTTAGCTGCACCTTTTCAATTCCCCTCCCACTTCTTTGCCATGTAGAGCAGAGTGGTCAGTCACAAGGAAAGGAAAAAGTGATGGGAAAAGGGATGTATGTCATACAGCTATGTCTGTCCATGATTAAAGCAAGGGCCAAGTTTAGCCAACATATTTCGTAATATTCTTTATAATAATAACAAAAATGGTTGTGCTCATCTTATCCAGATGAGATACTGCATTCTCCTCTGGTTCTTCAAAGAGGTAGGTGATTTGAGCTTCTAACAACTGGTCTATACTTAAAACTTAGGCTGACGGATATACAAAATTCACCCCCCCCCATAGCTATGCCAACCTAACCACTAGTGTTGACGCAATTAGTGATAACAGCTAATTTAGACCCGATCATTTTATATGTACAGTTGGAATTATGTTTTCCAATGTGCATTACTTTGCATTTATCAACACTGAATTTCATCTGTCATTTTGTTGCCCAGTCACCCAATTTTGTGAGATCCCTTTGTAGCTCTTCGCAGTCTGCTTTGGACATAACTATCTTGAGTAGTTTTGTATCATATGCAAATTTTGCCACCTCACTGTTTACCCTTTTTTCTAAATCATTTATGAATATGTTGAATAGGACTGGTCCCAGTACAGACCCCTGGGACACCATTATTTACCTCTCTCCACTCTGAAAACTGACCTTTATTCCTACCCTTTGTTTCCTATCTTTTAACCAGTTAGCAATCCATGAAAGGACTTCCCTCTTATCCTATGACAGCTTACTTTGCCTAAGAGCTTTGTCAAAGGCTTTCTGAAAATCTAAGTACATTTTATCCACTGGATCTCCCTTGTCCACATGCTTGTCGACCCCCTCAAAGAATTATAGTAGATTAGTGAGGCATGATTTCCCTTTAATAAACCAAGTTGACTCTTCCCCAACAAATTATGTTCATCTATGTGTCTGACAATTTTGTTCTTTACTATAGTTTCAACTAGTTTGCCCAGTACTGAAGTCAGGCTTATTGGCCTGTAATTGCCGCAATCACCTCTGGAACCTTTTTAAAAATTGGCATCACATTAGCGATCCTCCAGACATTTGGTACAGAAGCTGATTTAAATGATAGGTTACAAATTACAGTTAGTAGTTCTGCAATTTCACATTTGAGTTCCTTCAGAACTCTTGAGTGAATATCATCTGGTCCTGGTAACTTATTATTGTTTAATTTATCAATTTGTTTCAAAACCTCCTCTAACAACACCTCAATCTGGGATAGTTCCTCAAATTTGTCACCTAAAAAGAATGGCTCAGATTTGGGAATCTCCCTCACATCCTCAGCTGTGAAGACTGATGCAAAGAATTCATTTAGTTTCTCTGCAATGGCTTTATTGTCCTTGAGTGCTCCATTAGCATCTCAATCATCCAGTTGCCCCACTGGTTGTTTAGAAGGCTTCCTGCTTCTGATGTATTTAAAGCAATTGTTGCTATTGCTTTTAGAGTCTTTGACTAGCTGTTCTTCAAATTCTTTTTTGGCCTTCCTAATTATATTTTTACATTTCACTTGCCACAGTTTATGCTCCTTTCTATTTTCCTCACTAGGATTTAACTTCCATTTTTTAAAGGATGCTTTTTTGCCTCTCACTGCTTCTTTTACTTTGTTGATTAGCCATGGTTGCACTTTTTTGGTTCTCTTACTATGTTTTTTAATTTGGGGTACACATTTAAGTTGAGCCTCTATTATGGTGTTTTTTAAAAGTCTCCATGCAGCTTGCAGGGATTTCACTTTTGGCACTGTACCTTTTAATTTCTGTTTAACTAACTTCCTCATTTTTGTGTAGCCCCCCTTTCAGAAATTAAATGATACTGCGTTGGGCTGCTGTGGTGTTTTTCCTGCAAGAGAGATGTTAAATTCAATTATATTATGGTCACTATTACCAAGCAGTGCAGCTATATTCACCTACTGGACCAGATCTGGTGCTCCACTTAGCGCTAAATCAACAATTGCTTCTCCTCTTGTGGGTTCCAGGACTAGCTTCCAAGAAACAGTTATTTAAGGTGACTTTATAATATAATATACCTATCTCATAGAACTGGCAGGGACCTTGAAAGGTCATCAAGTCAAGTCAAGTCCAGCCCCCTGCCTTCACTAGCAGGACCAAGTATTGATTTTTGCCCCAGATCCCTAATTGGCCCACCTAAGGATTGAACTCACAACACTGGGTTTAGCAGGCCAATGCTCAAACCACTGAGCTATTCCTCCCCCCACTATAATATAATATAATATAATATAATATAATATAATATAATATAATATAATATAATATAATATACAGTGAACATTTCCTCCCCTCTGGCTGACTGGTGACATTCTGTACTTCGACTACTAAATATCTTAAGAACATCTTTTGGAGAGAATCTTTCTGAAGATAACAAATTTCAACAGTCCTTTCTTGTCAGAAACCAAGGTTTTTGTGCTAAAAGAAAACAAAATCATCCTGCAGTAACAGAAAGAAGTATGCAAGGCTTTGGAATAAGCTGGAGCATGTTGGAGACTACTGGTACTGTTATGAAAGAATCACTCAGCAAATTAGAGTAGATGGTAATAAAGAATTAAAGGAGACCTTCACCTCTAAGTCACAAACTTAAATCTTTCATCCACCCACTGCTTTGTGGCCTATGTATGTGCACTGAGTTGATGCTTTGGTTCCAAGTGGATGTTTCTAAGGTGCAAAAATCACCATCACAACTGACAGCCTTTTGAGTAGTCTCGGTAGAAAAGCAATTGACTGAATAGTTTTTGGGACTAAACTGCTTTCTCACCCACAGGAGTGAGTGAGGCAAACTATTGAGGAGGTAAATGGAAGCTCTCATTGCAGATGCATATGATATATTTCTTTCGCGGGGTCGGGGGGAGGGGGGAAATGGAGGAGTTCACTCTCTACTACTATCAGTCTGATACATTTCACCAGCATTACATTCACTTAAAGAAAAAGGCAGAAATCCGTAAACAGGAATCAGATGTTTCAACCCTCAACAATGCAGGTGAGTGTGCAGCCACCAATTGATTAGAAGCAGAATATTTTTTTTACCTCTTTAATAACAGTGAGACTCATAGCAAACTGAGTAGAAAAGACCACCACAAAGTACCTGTCATTAACAACTAACCAGGCAGAAGTATCACTCAGAGCTAATCTACACTGATCCAGGTATGTCACTCAGGGGAGTGAAAAAATCCACGCCCTCTGAGCTATGTATTTAAGCGGACATAATCCCCAGTACAGACAGCACTAGGCTGATGGAAAAATTCTTCCGTCGACCGAATTACTGCCTCTAAGGAAGGTGGATTATCTACAGCAATAGGAGAACTCCTCCCATTGCTTCAGCGAGTGTCTACACTGAAGCGCTACAGCTGTGCTGCTGTAGTGTTTTAAATGTATACATAGTCTTTGTAAAACTGTCTCTTTATTTTGTTCATAAAATAAAGAAATTATTTAGCTGCATCACAGATAGACCTAGTTCATTGACCCGGGCAATCTACATTCAGTTACATTATCATCCTGCCATTGGGGGTCTTTGCTATGACAAATGAGCACACTTTGTTTTGTCAGAGACCTCGTGGAGACTGCGGAGTGTGAAAGAAACACAACATGAAAATATGAAGATGTGCCACAAGAAGCCTTAAACGTGTAAATTGCCCTACGATGTCAGGCAAAGTTATTAAGTTCATGTAAATATTTTATGCAGGAATAAAAAATAAATAAAAAGAAGAATTCAGCAGTTCACATCACAGTGCTTCAGACAACAAGCCCAATCTCATCATATCTGCCCCAACTGATCAGATTTAAATTAGCATGCACCCCTCTTGTCTCATTACTCATTCAGAATGTGAGATGTGCATCATTAAGCTAGGCACTAATTTGTTCCTAAACTGCACTCATTCATCATTAGTTGGCAGTGAGAGGTTGATCAAGTCAGTTGTGGAACACTTCCGTGGCCCACCCATGAATTGTACACTTTCTGCATGATTTACTTACGACACTCTCTAAACGTTATTTTAACAGTTTTGGTAACCCATATATTGTAAAGATGATTTTTTTGGTCAGGTTAATCTCAGAGGTTTCCTGTTTGCCTTACTTCTAAAATTGGACTCTTCTGCTTCTACAAAAAAAGTGTTTGTGTATTGATCTTTTAAACGGCATCTTCAATGAATTATCAAAAAAAGTCACCTCAGTGCTGTAGCGTTCCAAAGAGAGATTGTTACTCATTTAGGAGATGCATAATGGGGGATTATAGTAAGGATGTTTCCCCTTAGAAAACTGAAATATTATTTTAGGGATCCTTCTAAGAAAAATTGAGGCCTGGGAATCTCTTTCAAAATTCAGTTTAATTATTAATACACTGGCTCTTGATATTTTTGCCAATTTTTATGTTACTTCATTCATGCCAGATATAGATGCCAAGAATGAAGCATGGATATTGTAAACTGTAATTTTGTGAATAAGAACTTTTTAAATCCATACCATAAGTCATCTGTCTTTATATGTTAATTTGTGTTTGTCATGTCTTTAAAAAACTTTTATAGAAGTATTTTAATAAAATTTGTGAACATAAAACTGCCATAAAACTTGTAAATTAAATTAAATTAATATTTCAATGCATGAGCTGTCTAATATTCTAGTCAAGGAAACCAGTTTCAGCTTCAGTTACAAGAACAGACGGTGGTTGCTTCTTTTATTCATCCATAATACTAAATAGCATCATAAAAGTTAAGAAAAGGAAGAGCAAACCAATCAGTTCACCCCCCCCCAAGCATAGATACAACGTACCCTACTAGAAGACACAGCAAAAGTTCAGCTACATATTCACCGTAGATTATTGACATTGTATTGTTTGTTTAAAAGACTAAAAGAAACTGTGGCTGTGCCATTGCATAGAATGATCCCACTGTGAAGGATAAGTTTGCAACGTCAATGCTAAGTTTTGAATTGTACAGTCTCAGTGAGTTACCTGATTTATCAGATGGAAGGGAAATGCTGTTGTCTGTAGTATCCAGAATAACAGCCAGCCCTGCAGAATAAGATGGGAGGATGCTGGTACTAAGATCTACACGGGTTAGACTTTCAGGCTCTTTTTCCATGCCTCCTAGAATACCTCCAGCGTTGGCAGTTTCAACATCAGTCCTTTTCTGACCACTGTCTAGGGGACTCTGAACAATATGAACTATACTCTGCTGGGCCAAGTCACAGTTCTGAAAAACAAAAACAAAATCCCAAATATGATTGACACAAAGAAAAAAATCACTCTGTCTCCAATTTGGTATTTGTTTAGCCATTTCCAATCCATTTCATGTGGAATTTCAGTAAGCATTAACAGAGTTCAGAGAAAAGTGACAAATATAAATTGCAAGAATTAGGATTACTTGCACTGGCAACAGGTTCACAATGCTTACAAATTCTAAACATTTAAGAAAGAAATGGTGGACCAGAGCCAACAACTCTGAATAATTCGGTTGGCGGATGTACAGAGAGAAGTGTTATTAAGTCAGATGCTAAGAAAATTCAATCTATAAAATGCATTTTTACAGACAAGGATGAAAAAAGTTTATAATATTAATATTTAACAAAGCACAGGTGACCCCTTTTTTACTAACAATAATAACAGTTAGAAGTGTTCATAACAATGCTTGAATTAGTGTGTGTGAGGGATAAATGAAGTAATGCCATCCTCCCACTTCTTGCTGCCACATGTTGGAAAACTGAAAAAAAATTGCGGAGCATTGTCATTTTATTTTTTCCCAGTTTAAAACACTGTGCATGATAGATAGCGGTAAACACTACAGTTATATCATTTTACTTAATCATTCTAGACTTCCAAATTTGTTTGGAAGCCATGTTGTCTAGACTAAGAAAGTAGGCTCAAGACTTTTTTCTGTGTTTACAATTGCTATTAATTAAAACAAAATTAAAAGAGAAAACAAAATAAAGCTTTCAAAAGTGAAATAAAGAAAGTTATATGACAGTTAATAATAAGAACTGTATGCATTGAATGTAACTTGGAAATCTGAAAAGTTTATCAAAACCTGATAATTAAATTCAACAAATGTAATCCACAGTAATCCAATTATTCTGGCAAAGTGTCAATCTTGCATTATCCTACTGTTCTTAGGAAAAAGCTATTGTCCAAACAGATCTTAAAAGAGATGCTTTTTACGTTTCTCAAAGACCATTGCCAACACTAACTCTAAAGTCAGAAACATAAATATTTTCAACAATTACTTTGTTCCTTAAATCTAAATTTCAAACTATTTTTTCTCAGGTATTATTAACAAAAACAAACCATAAATCAAGTTTTCCCATATACATATACATACCTATATATGGTATTTTGAAAAGTAATGCCAAATACACAGTCTGAGTTATTTTAAAACTGCTCTTTCCCCTGAAATCCACCAATTAGTTATAAGCACAAGTAATTAATTAAGAAACATTTTTCTTCAAGTTTACCATACACTTATTTTTGAAACAAGCTCAGATAATAATAAACTCTTTAGGATTCTAATCTTTACATTTTAAAATCAAGATATTGCTTTCCTTTCTCTGAGCTTCTCGTAATTCAGATGGTATCAGATCATGTAGGTATTTTTTAATTCTTTGAAGTTACTGCATGTGCTCCCTCAGACATGCTTCCTTGTATTTTTGTGTGCCCATGGACCACAGCTTCCTGTTTAAGTAGAATGAACTATTCTCATGTGGTATCACAAATTCGTTTTTTGTCCCCACATTCCATATAATAAATTCCAGAGTCAATTTTGACAATCAGGTTGGGTTCACTCATGAGTCACCTAATGTGCCTGTGCAGGAGGAAAAGGGGTAGAAGGTGTCCTTGAGCACTGATAATTATTTATTTGCTCCCAATGTACCTTATCAATTTAACCTGGTATTAGATATCAACTCTATACGCATTCTGCAGCCCTTTCCACAGTTCATATTCAGCTGGGATCTTGAGAATCAGAGGGAACTTGCAGTTCAGTTAAAGATGTCACAATCACGATAATCTTTTCTAGTAGTGCAAAAGGGTTTCTCTATTCAGCCTGAAAGAAAGGGACGCTGCTTGTTTTTCTACAGGTCTTGGGTTTTCAAAAAGTCTTCCTCTCCCTCAGCGGCCAACTGGAATGGCATCTCAGTTGGCAACTCTTTCTAGATGCTCTTCATTTTATGAAAAGCAACATTTAAGGCCAGATAGGGCTTTTCACCCAATTGAGGGTGCACCCACTTATTACGTCTCTTCTCTCAAAAGATCCCAGATGAATCTGCACATTTCCCAAAGAAACTAATGAAATAAACAAATTACCATCTCATGACTGTTCCAGTAATTTAACAGTCCTTCAGATTACTGGGATTTCACTATTATACTTCTTGGATTCACAATGTAAATTTCTCTCTGAACACCTGGTTTTCACTCAGCATTTGTTTTTCTCCATCTCTCTCATTTGCGTGTAAACCAGATGTCCATCTTGAAACCTTTACAGCCCTCAGAGTGGTCCTTTCTGCTTTGCATAAAATAGGTTCTGATTAGTGCTGACCTTTTCACAGTTTTTAGCAGAAATTGTTCTCCAGGTGTTACCTCTATTGGCCCAGGCCTGTCTTTAACCATTATGACTGAGTTATATATAATGTGTTATATATAATAATAAATATATATAATTTCTACACAGAAATAAACTTGGCTATACCCCCCAAAGAATCATTTTGCTAACCTTCTTCAGCTTCATCACATTGGCTCTGTGTACACTGGTGTGATCTCGGTGGACAGTTGATTGGTTTGGAGGGAAGGGATGAACAATTATTTTGCAGGCCCACCCAGTTGTGTGGAGTGGCCCACAAAGGTGGAGTAACACAGCTGTCCCAGAATAACCCTGCATGTTTCTGTGTTGGGAAAAACCAATGGCAGTTAATATACAGACGGTCTGTATTAACTTTAGCTGGTTACACTTGTGGGTTTGGGTAGAATGGAAGAATCCTGAAAAGCTGGGTCAGATCCTCTGCCCCACTTTCTCTCTGCTCCCTCCAACTCTGTGGTGGTAATCATCTTAGAAATGCTATATACCAGGGGTGCCCAAACTTCAGCTTGCGAGCCACATGCGGCTCTTTTACAGTTAAAGTGCGGCTTGCAGTGCCCCCCACACCCGCACCCTGTTCTCTACCTACTAGACTGGGGCAGGGGGAGCACAGGGCTTCTGCTCTGCAGCAGGATGGTGGGGCTAGGGGCTTCAGCCCTGCGGGGAAGGGGGGGTCACGGGACTTCAGCAGGAGCGGGGCTGATGCCCTGAGCCCTGGCAGGCATGCCCGGCTCTCGAATTTCTGAAGATTATCGTATGCAGTTCAGAGGATCTGTATGTTTGGCCATCCCTGCTATACACTTTAGATAAATAATGAGGTACAAAACCAAGAGGATTCTGTAGGAATGGGGAAGAATATCATAGGGGCAGCATTGTCCCTTCCATGCGCTCCAGGGCTTAATGCAGACACTTCTCCACATATGGACATAGAGGGGAGAAAGTTGGCCCAGTTTCACTGATGTAAATCTAGAGTAGCTTCACTGAAGTTAATACAGTTACTAAAGATTTACACTGGTGTAACTAACAGCAGAATTTGTCCCATTATGAAAGTTAAATGTTACCAATCATCAGGTACATTTTTAATTGAACAAGGTTCCCTTATAGATATTTCAGCATACTTTGTAATCTTGGTTTCAGAGTAGCAGCCGTGTTAATCTGTATCCGCAAAAAGAACAGGAGTACTTGTGGCACCTTAGGCCTTGGCTACACTTACCCGGTAGTTCGGCAGCGAGCGATCGAACTTCTGGGTTCGACTTATCGCGTCTAGTCTGGA